CCTTACACTAAAGAGTTTTTCCTTTTATCAATCTTGTTGTACGGTTGACTAATTCAAGTATTTTCTATATATTTAAATCTCTTCCTAGATTTGAACTTCCTGTAATTTTCCTTCTATTTTCCGTTAAATTTCTATTCTACAATGTCTAGTATGTCACTGATTTACAGTGTTATCAATTGCGGAAGATGGTGGATTTCCAAACCTAATTTGTTTATAAATAAATTTTTTCTATAATTTTTTTCCGTGAATTTTTCCGATATTTTAATAGTTATTCGGTCAACAAATCAGAAAATATTAATATTGGTCCAGTTTTTGAGTTATGAATGATATGACTAACCGTAACGTTTGATTTTACTCTTTCTCATTATTATTTTATGATCTTTGTTCCATCAATGTTGAAATATTTTTTAAAATAATTTATATATATATATATATATATATATTCTTTAATATGAATATTTGAAAACCTAAATATTTGGCTAATATTGTCAAGACTTTTCAATTTATGCCGACTTTCGCTTATGCGCCAATTTGAAAGGGGTAAGGGATCAGTTACCTGCATGACGTCTATTTAGATGTGTTTTTAAAAAACATTAATAATTAAACAATTAAAACATAACAATCAGGTCGACGAAATCAGACGCATGTCACTGAAAGGTGAATTCATCACGGTCATCGCCGGGTGAGTGGAATAAACCGTTAGTGCGCTTGCGCACACACCGGCAAAATCGGTGCCGGATCCGGCGCCGGATTTGCACAAGTTCCGAGAGTTGTATTTAATTATATTGCATTTGCCGTCCGCAGGACTATTTTACTGGATTGGAGTGTATGTGAAGGAGCTAATTTATTTATATTGTAATCGATTTCAGCATCGACACCGGCACCGATTTTGCCATTGTGTGTGAAAGCGCTCTTAGACGACATGACCGTCGACGATCACCATGAGTCAGAATCTTAACGAGTTGTTAATGAGTCGATCAGTTAGACAGTCAATGAGTTGATAGTTGATCGCGCACAGTCAAAATATGTTGGCTAAACTGTAATTAGTTCAGCATACACTTTGTTTTACCTTTTCCCAAATTGTCATAAAATCAGGTCTGCATAAATTGAAGTTTTAATAATATTACAACTAATATATTTTTTGTCGTTTTGTATTTGATGGTTTTCTTTGAGGTGGAATATGAATTTATGACCAGGCGGATTTTACTTTGACAGATATAAACAATTCTAATAGAATTTTCCATAGTAATTGTTTATCTTTTATCCCGCTTATCACACTTGACGATGAAACTTTTGGATAAAACTTTTACTTTTTAATAATACATCGTACTACCGAAAAATTTATGACCAAGCGGATTTGACTTTAACAGATATAAACAATTCTCATGGTATTTTCCACAGTAATTGTTTATCTTTTTTCACGCTAATCACACTTGATCATAAAGCTTTTGGATAAAACCGTTACCTTTTAACAAATAACAATACATCGTACTACCGAATATTTTATGGCCAGGCGGATTAGACTTTGACAGATAAAAACAATTCTTATGGAATTTTCCATAGTAATTGTTTATCTTTTATCCCGCTTATCACACTTGACGATGAAACTTTTGGATAAAACTTTTACTTTTTAACAATACATCGTACTACCGAAAAATTTATGACCAAGCGGATTTGACTTTAACAGATATAAACAATTCTCATGGTATTTTCCACAGTAATTGTTTATCTTTTTTCACGCTAATCACACTTGATCATAAAGCTTTTGGATAAAACCGTTACCTTTTAACAAATAACAATACATCGTACTACCGAATATTTTATGGCCAGGCGGATTAGACTTTGACAGATAAAAACAATTCTTATGGAATTTTCCTTAGTAATTGTTTGTCTTTTACCACGCTAATCACGCCTGATCACGAAACTTTTGGATAAAGCTTTCAGCTATTAATAACTATATTTTTTTATTTATATTTTTTATCTAATATAAATTTGAATTACCCTGTACATATAATATAATTCATATTTATTGCCTCGATGCTTACGAGTATTCTTTATCAGTTAGACAGTTAACGAGTTGATAGTTGATCGCGCACAGTCAAGATATGTTGGCTAAACTGTAAATAGTTCAGCATCAAAGACATTATAAATATAGACCGAACATCTCATTCATAAATACTCGTTGGTAGTGTATCAAACATTCCAATGTGTCAAACAAGGACAGAAGAGACAGAGAAGTCTAAAATTTTCGACCCCGGCAACTAGGCTCATTTGGATTGTTTTAATGGCCAGTGGCGTATCGTTTTTTGGAACGAATTTAATTAGTAAAGTAAAAGTAAAGTAATTAGTAAAATGTTTACTCCATATTAATATACTACATTAACACTTTTTCGTCAGGTGAGTTTTGTTATAAGGTCTAATATAATAATATAATTAATATCCCACATATACTTATGTTGAAACGTTAGTAGGTCGTTTTCGAAAATCGCTCCAACGTCGATTTTCAATTTAAACTTTCAGTTAATTCTATATAAACTTTCAGTTACTTTTGAATATTTACAGGGTGACTCAGGCTTCCGAAACAGTTCTATATTAGGTTTGTGGTTGGTGACTTTTCTTTCAATTTTTTTTTCAGAATATGGAGGCAATGGTAAAGCACGTTTTAGACATTTTTGTAAACATAGATGGCCGGAACATATTTTCAAACCAAAGTTGTAGATTTGCCATTAAATTTCCATTCCAGAAATACCTAGGGTTGCCACCTGTCCTTTTTTGAAAAGGACAGTCCTTTTTTGGAATAACTTGTCCTTTTGACTTTTTTTGACTTAAAAAGTCATTTTTATTTACGTATTTTCCCTGAGAAAATTACCTACAACAAACAGAAATATTATTTTCGTCTAAATTTAATTAGAGATGTTATAAAACTTATAAATAATTTTTTCTTGTTTAAAATAGGCAACATTATTTAGAACTTCCCATTTAATCTCAAATGATAATTTAGGTTTTAGTTTTACCTTTTTTGATCTTAAAAAGAACTTTTTAAAATTAGTAATTAGTAACGATTTAGTTAGTTCGCAATCGATAGCTACCTGTAAAGTACTGTGTAATAGATGTTTATTATTAATAACTTTCTATACCCAAAATCAATATTTAATGAGAAAATTGTGTTTTTTTAAAAATATAAGACAAGATTTAACTTTCGGTCTTCTTCTTGTATTATGATGGCCCTGATACGAGGCAATTACCTTTTAGTCTCTCAATAGAAGGCATTTATCATTAAAAGTATCAAATCTGTGTGCTACAGTATGGGATTTCTGTCGCATAATAATGAATATTACGTTTATTTACAAATCCATTACTTTTAAAGGTAGCTTCATCAGACAATCAAATTTTAGTTAAATGTCCCAATCTTCATGAACTGTATTAAGCATATGTATTGCGGTTTGAATCACCCTGTATGTTGACAAAAATATTTTGAAAATGTGCGTTACAATGGCCCCGATTTTATGTAAAAAAATGGAATAAAAACCAAAAACGTAATAGGTATAAAGCTTTTTTGGGGGCCTGGGTCACACTGTATATAGGTATGTATAAAACTAGTAGCCTAAGAATTGTTTACAGTTCGTCCCATTCTAAAAAAGGTAAACACACCGTACAAATAACTCTAGGAGAGGTATTTGTACGGTGGTAAAAAATTGTTTAAACGAGGCCGAAGGGGCAGATAATGCAATAAAATGTAAAAAAAGGGCGGGTAAACACCTTTGTTTATTTGTTGAGCAAAATTCCTTTAGAATATCGTATATAATGACCAAAATATGACGCAATTTTAAGAAAAAAAAAAATGTCACTTTCTGGCTTATAATAAAGTTTCAAATGCAACGTTTATATTCAAATTTGTTATGATCTACAAGAGTTAAGTAGTAATTGAGACGAATTATAATTCAATTACCGGCTACTACGTTCTTGTTTTAATAGCTCAAAATTCAACAAATATAATTAGAAATTATTTTAATTGTGAGAGGCTCCCTTGTGAGACGCCTATGTATGGCGATTACGGCGCGGCGGAAACAATACCTACCTGTGAAAAGACAAATTCGGGTAATTTGAGCTTATTTTTCCACACATTTGACACTGTCGTACCATATTGAAAATTCGCAGATTCAAAAGTACGTTAAACAAAAGCAAAAACTACTGAAAAACACTGAAAAGTTCACTTCGAACTTGATTCCGACTTCAAACATACCGTAAGCTAAACGTAGTACGCTATAACGGACCAAGGGCCGTCGCGAGGGGTGGTGGGACGGACGGCTCATTTCATTCTGTAAGACTAGCAGCGACGTTGCCAATAGTTCTAGACGTTTCAGCACATTAAACAGTAAACATGTCCTTTAATAGTAACGCATATATCCTCTGGTTAATAACATATTATTACGCATGCTTCTTTAAAAATAAACTATTAATTTAATTAAAAAATTGAGATTTATTGATATCCGGTGAAGGTTTTAAAGTCACCTTTTCTGCAAATCAAACTAAGTAGACAGGCGCAAATTTGAGATGTGGCAATGTCGCTTTCTCTATCTCAGTTGGTTTTTACAGTACGTAGTCAACCTCCGATTGTTTGATCGGGTTAAAATGCAAAATGTGATATCTGTTCTTCCTAAATCTATGTTCAGCATACACTTTGTCTTACCTTTTCCCAAATTGTCATAAATTAAGGTCTGCATAAATTGAAGTTTTAATAATATTACAACTAATATATTTTTTGTCGTTTTGTATTTGATGGTTTTCTTTGAGGTGGAATATGAATCTATGTGTATTTTGTGGCTATACTTGAACAGCATATTACATAGTATTAGCATTAGTATCTCTATAAAACGATCTTAAATCAGTCAACATTTTATTTCTTTTTACATAGTGTCTTTAGTTATGTTTAGCTCTAGATTTCATTAAATGTTTCTATAGTCTTTAAGAATCCATCTAAATAGTGTGTTTTCTTTCAGGTATGGTTTAAGAACCGACGAGCCAAAGCCCGTACGCAACAGCAGCAACACGAGGCAGAGAGGAACAAGCCGAAGAAAATGCGACGCCCTTCCGCATCATCGGCAACATCATCTTTGTCGCAACCGTCGACTTCTGTGTCTCAACCGTCCACTTCCGCTTCTTTGCCACAACCGCAACAAGAAGCCTCGATAGTAGCCTCAACTGCCATACTACCGAAAAAACTTTCGCCCCCGTCAAATATGCTGACGCCGACAAGCAGCATATCGTCCCCTCCGGGATCAAGTTTAAAAACAGATTTACCTGGCCAATCTGTTTTAGAAAAGATGACGGAGGTGTATGGTTGCAGCCCTGACCTACCGACAACGGGGAGTCCATTCATTCAACAAAACTCCTCATCGCCATTCGGACATGCGACACAAGGCTCACCGACTACGCAGGTCTCCCAGATTTCGCCTCAGTCATGCGTGTCACATCTAAGCAATACTATTCAAAATTTTACCCTGGGAAGTAGTGCGGGGAGCGTAAGCCCATCCCCGCCTACGACACCGGGAATGGCTGTGTACAACCACGCTCCGAATGTTGTGCCAACGAACTATCCCCACGCACATACTCAAACCTACCAAACTGATTTAAACAACCATAATGCTTGGTATGCGAACCAGGTCGCTCAGACCAATTATTATCAAAATAACCAGAACCACGGGTCGTATCCTAATCAGGTTCTGAATGTAGATTATCATCACTATCAAGCTTACCCTTATCCAAACGGAAACCACTGGGGTAATATTCACCCACACCCGGGGTACAGCGTGCCACCCAGCACCTCACAATGCTATCCCAACTTTGATAACCAAAATCACATGCAGCATTAGTGAATGGATAGTATTTTTGTCTGACGCAACGTGATTGATAGAACACTGACAAAAGCTGATTGTCATTTTTAATAGTAATATTTTGTATCATATGTATATAGGATGAAACGAACGGAAAAATCCGTTTATTTTTGTAAATATTACAGTGTCTATAGCAATTAGGTACCACACGACACCAAAATATTATATGATCAAATATGCTTTGACTAAGACAGTTAAAAAACCGCTGTCATTTTGAGAAGCATGTTTCGTCATAAATCATTTTGACCATTTTTTCAATTTGTAATTTTGTTTATATATTTTTTGTTTACATCAGTTTATTTCATACATTTTATTAAAATTTCTGTTCTTTCTACTGCATAGTCTAAAATCTTGACTCGTACATAATCCTGAAAAGTTTGGATTATTCAGATATACAGGGTGACCCAGAAATAAGTGCAAGTATTTTAAGGGGTGGTAGATCTCGATAAAATAAACATATTTTCTCTTTATCGTTTTTCAAATAAGTCCAAAATATCGGAGTTATTTTACTTTGAAAATTTTCAAAAAAAAAATATTTTTTACTAAAATTTTGAGAACCACTGGATCTTTTCTGGATTTTCTTTCTTGTAAATTTAATCTACTACTTATGTTGCCATATTATCAAGAAATTATTTTTTTTTAAATAAAAACAAAAAAAATTTCAAAGTTTTCAAAAAAAAGTTCGCGAAAAAACCTCATAGGCGTGTTTTTGGGGTTCAACTGTACTACCTGTTAAAATACTTACACTTATTTCTGGGACACCCTGTATATTTAAAAAAAAATAGCCCAGTAAATGCTGCTTTCTCATTTTAATAGTAAGCTTTAAAATCTGAAATATTCAGCATTACAGTTTTTTATTTGACTTTGACAGATATAAACAATTCTCATGGAATTTTCCATAGTAAATATTTATCTTTTATCACGCTAATCACGCCTGATCATGAACATTTGGATGGCATTTTCAGTTTTTAATAATACACCGTACTACCGAAAAATTTATGACCAAGCGGATTTGATCTTTAACAGATTAAAATAATCCTCATGAAATTCTCCATATTAATGGTTTATTTTTATCACGCTAATCGCGCCTGATCATGAACATTTGAATGAAATTTTCAGCTTTAAACAATACAACGTACTACCGCAAATTTTATAACCAGGCGGATTTGACTTTGCCGGATAAATACAATTCTTATGGAATTTTCTATAGTAATTATTTGCCTTTTATCACGGTAATCACACTTGATCATGAAACCTTTGGATAAAACTTTTACCTTTTAACAATACATCGTACTACCGGAAAATTTATGACCAGGCGGATTTGACTTTGACAGATATAAACAATTCTCATGGTATTTTCCATAGTAATTGTTTATCTTTTATCACGTTAATCACACTTGATCATGAAACTTTTGTATAAAACCTTTACCTTTTAATAATACATCGTACTACCGAAAATTTTATGACCAGGCGGATTAGACTTTGACAGATAAAAACAATTCTTATGGAATTTTCCATAGTAATTGTTTGTCTTTTATCACGCTAATCACGCCTGATCACGAAACTTTTGGATAAAGCTTTCAGCTATTAATAACCATATTTTTTTATTTATATTTTTTATCTAATATAAATTTGAATGACCCTGTACATAATATAATTCATATTTATTGCCTCGATGCTTACGAGTATTCTTTATCTATATACAAAAACATTTTATAATATTTTACTTAAAGTTTTGTTCCTAAGTCTATTTGACTATGCGTAGTAAGAACTAGACTAAAAATTAGTAGGTTATTGGAATTCATCCACTAAAAAGAAACGATCACCCGGTTAATCTTTTGTACATACAATTTGTAAATTTCTCCAATTTAATAGTGGCCTTTAAAATCTAAAGCGTGTAACATGTTTGTGTTTCTCCCGAAATAACATTTAACCAATATAACATTAAATTGAATTTTTAAAACGTAAAACGTTACATTACTCTCTCCATTCTTTTTGGTTTTAACATCTGGAACGTTTAACGTTACATCTTTTAATATCACTAGAATCTGTGAAATTAAAACTCTTTATGATCAACGGCTTTGATCTGACAAATAAAAAGTTGTCATGTAATTTTTCATAAGAATTGTTTATGTTATCATATTAATCACGCTTGATCATAAAGAGTTTTCATCATGTATATAACAATGTAAATAATATATGTACATATCATTTTAGGCCATGGGAAAGTAAAAAATACAAAACTGTCGATAATCCGGAATTGTCGTCTATTACAAAATATTTATTGTCTGTGCTTAACAATTTAAAAATATTTTTTAAATGCAATGATTTGTCCAGATAAAAACGTTAGAGGAAAAATTAAGAAGTTGAAGAACATCAGATGAATATATGTTCACCAAGAAAATGTATTAGCTCATATCTACATAGATATAGCCGTTTTTGTCAAAGACCAACGATTGATGTTTTTAGTTTTTACACCAAATAACAGATCAAGTTAGTCAAGGTTATATACTCAAACAAAAATAACTGCTTTTAGAAACAGAATTAAACATTAAACATAACGCAGTGACATGTACATGAGAGGTTTAGAACAATGATCAAATCAAATCTTTTTATTAGGCTCCAATATACAAAATATACAAAATACAAACCATACTTTGGCTGACTAATAGTCTAATAGCCTAATAAGGAGTGCACCGTGATTATAAAACCGATTCACTGATTGCCAAAGGCATCAGTGTCACACACTCCCTGTAAAAGATAACTAAACAGAAATATCAGAATTTCATTTTTAATACAATAATATACCTACAACAAATAAACCCGTAAGAAAAACGGAGGACCACAGGCAAAGCAAAAAGAAACCCCGAACGCACATGATGCGTATATGATCATCATATGATGAAAAATTATGATTTGCCTTAAATTATAGGCTCTAATTAATCTGATGATGATCAGATATTCCTTTTTTTTAAGTTTTTTTTTCTGGGTTTTAATGTCAAGCTCTGTACAGAGCGTAGCCAAGACCTCTCGATGGGCGCACTAATTAACATTTTAGATAAACGTATTTCTTTAAATAAAGAAAGCCACTGTTCGGAATCATCAGATCCGAAATCAGAGTTAAAATAGTAAAGTGTCAAAAATAGTGGTCCTTCCAGGGTAACCTAAAAGGTTTTATTTTATAGGCTATGTTCCGGTAACTTAAAGGCTACTTATTTAGATTTAGATAAGTAAAGTTTGTGACCAAACTAATATGTTTATGTTAAAAATTAGGTTCGTAACTGGCTAAATTGATCTGTTTTTTGGATATTTAACTAAATGGTGTGCATACAGTGGTGTGCGATTTTCTGGTTAGAACAATAAACTTTAAACTGCGAAACATCATGATTCTTTGCCCACGGGAAATCATGATTTTTAAACAAGAAATCCAAAAAATATATTTTATCTTTGAAGACAAGCAACACAAAGTAAAGTAGGAATAAAGTATGCGAGTAATGTGGAATAATACGAGTAATCTTAAGAGAGTGTAATAACAGATAACAGTTATTATTACTATATTATTATACAGGGTGTAAATAAATGAATTAAAAATAAGTTTTAAGAACCGTAGAGCTAAAGTATGTACTCAACAACAGCAACACGAAGCAGAGGATGGAAACATTAAATCTAAGAAAATGAGACGCTTTTCCTCATCATCAGCGACTTCTTCTTTGTCCCAACCATCGATTTTTTTGTCTTAACAGTCAGCTTCCACCTCTTTGCCACAAGAGCCACAAGACGCATCGATAGTATGGACTCCGATACTACCCAAAAAGCTTTCACCTCCGTCAAATATGCTGAGCCTCTCCTACTACGCAAGTGTCGTAGATATCCCCTCAGACGTGCGTATCTCAACTGAGTAATATCATTCACAATTTCACTCTGGGAAGCAGCGCATCTAGCGTAACCCCCTCCCCGCCAAACGCACCTGGAATGGTCGCGTACAAACATGCGCCGAATAACGTCGTTGCAACTAACGATCCGCACCACATACACACTCATACCGAACCATAAATATTATTCATAATAATTATTATATTGTCATTGTTTAAATGCATTCGGCATGGGTGTGAATGTGGATGCGACCATTCCAGGTGTGTTTGGCGGGCAACAATGATCATCATATGATGAAAAATTATGATTTGCCTGTAAATTATAGGCTCTAATTAACCTGATGATGATCAGATATTCCCTTTTTTAAAGTTTTTTTTTCTGGGTTTAATGTCATGCTCTTTACAGAGCGCAGCCAAGACCTCTCGATTGTCGCACTAATTAAAATTTTAGATAAACGTATTTCTTTAAATAAATAAAGATTATGCTAGATGTACAGCTTCTCAGTGTGAAACTGTGAATATTACTACTCAGTTGGAACACACACGACTGAGGGGAAATCTGCGACACTTACGTAATATGAGAGGCTCAGTATATTTGACGGTAGTGAAAGCCTTTCAGGTAGTGTCGGAATCGATACTCTCGATGGTTCTTGTGGCTGTTGTGAGAAAGAACCGGAACTTGACAGTTGAGACCTAGAAGTCGATGCCGATGGTTGAGACAAAGAGGACGTCGCTGACGCTGCAGAAGGGCAGAAGTAATTGACTTAAGTATTTGATAGTAATCAAAGCAAGCAGAATCGCATATTCTTATCAAGTGTTAAACATAGACTACCACCACTATTATTGCTCTTGAAGTAGACAACATATACGTTACAACAACATACTCAGACATACATACAACGACTCAGACTACATATACTCAAGCAAAATTCCTCGTCACCGTCGGGCATGCTACTCAAACATCACCGACTACGCAAGTGTCCCAGATTTCCCCTCAGTCGTGCTTGTCTGAACTGAGTAAAACTATTCACAATTTCACACTGGGAAGTAGTGCGGGAAGCGTGAGCCCGTCCCCGCCAAATACACCTGGAACGGCACTCTCCGAACGTCGTTCCAACGAACTATCCCCATGCGCATCCTCAATCCTACCAAACAGACTTAAATAACCACAATACTTGGTATGCGAATCAGGTCGCTCAGACCAATTACTATCAAAGCAACCAGAGCCACGCGTCCTATCCTAATCAGGTTCTAAACGTAGATTACCATGACTACCAGACATACCCTTATCAAAACGGAAGCCACTGGGGCAATCAGTACCCACACCCGGGGTACAGCGTTCCTACCCAGCAGCTCACAATCAGACAAACTCCAACAAGTAGCATATACCGGAGTACGGATCACCTGTTTGAAACAAATGACTCGTCACCGTTCGGACCTTAACAGTCATTATTTGACATGTAACTACACAGAATTGTCCCAGATCTCAGCCTCATTTCGTGCGTGTCTCATTTCACAATTTCACACTGGGAAGTAGTGCGGAAAGCGTAAGCGTAAGCCCATCC